ATGTTGAAACCTAAGAAAGTCTCTATCGGTGCCGGATACCACGGATGTCATGGGACCCTCGAGCTTTATGCCCGTTCGTCTGGGACAGAGATACTCTCTCTCGACTGTGCCGTCGACCAATTAGGCTTCGGCGACTTGATACACCTCGAGACGCCAGTCAATCCGACAGGGAAAGCATTTGACATTCAGCATTACGCAGATCGCGCCCATTCCAGAGGTGCCTATCTCAGTGTAGACTCAACATTTGCTCCTCCCCCACTTCAAGACGCATTCATTCAGGGTGCAGATATTGTCATGCACTCTGGCACAAAATACATCGGAGGCCATTCTGACTTACTGTGTGGTATTCTGGCGGTCAAGGGTGGCAGCCCCGGCGATGAATGGCTGCAGCAACTTCATCGGGATCGATTGTACCTTGGGTCTGTCATGGCAGGTTTTGACAGCTGGCTCGCGACTAGGAGTATCCGCACCCTCGAGATGAGAGTTCTCAAACAAAGCCAGTCAGCCGAGGCCATCGTCAGCGCATTGAGATTTGGATTGGCAGGGTCTTGTCGGCAGTCACCCTTGATAGGACTCAGCGATAAAGAGGCTCAGATCATCCAGAAAGTGGTCAAAGACATTCACCACGCTAGCCTGCAAGACGAAGCTAATATCGAAGGAAGTTGGCTGCGAAAACAGATGCCCCGAGGATATGGACCTGTGTTTTCTCTAACGCTCCACAAGGTGGAATATGCGCGGAACCTTCCGTCTAAGTTGATACTCTTCCATCATGCAACCAGCCTCGGCGGTATAGAAAGCTTGATCGAGTGGAGGACAATGACGGACTCGACCGTGACCAAGGACTTTCTGAGAATCAGCATTGGTGTGGAGGATCCGGGAGATCTCTTGGCGGATCTACTCCGAGGTCTAGAGGCTGTTCTGGTCGAGGGTAGTCGACATTCGAGTACTAGTAACTGAATGAGCGCTGGGTCACTATAATCTGTTTTACTGTTCAGGAAATGAGAGCTGGCTGTACCTTTCATCCTGCAATTCTCTCTATAGTACAGCGAACTAGAATTAGAGGTTTCCTACTTCCCATGTTCCAAAAAAGGGGCCACCTGAATCTTGAAATTGAAAGAACGGATCATAGGCCATATCCAAAGACATAGGCCAAGAAGCAAGAGGGGTCTGTTCAGTGGAAGATCCGAATGTTTCTGGAATAGAACAAGATTGAGTTACAGGATTTGCCTGGGACTCCTGTGTTCCTTGACCAGATCTCGTTCTTCTCCTTCCGGGTTGTGGCGGCAAGGCTTGGCCATTCCCCAAACTCACTTCCACAGTTGGGCTGTGGAAATTATCTATCTCAACGATGTCTTCTCCATCATCCGTGTTGTCCTCTGGAAACAGAGAGCTGCCGTCGAAAAGACTTCGTGTCTGGGGAGAACTGGTAGTGCCTCTGTAAGCGCCAGAGTTGTAAAGAAGAATATCCCACATTAAACGCGTGTTGATAGAAATGGTCCTCGGTGGAGGGACCTCTTGGTCCTTTTCCTGCTCATGGTCCACCTCGAATGCTGCCCGGATCAACGACTGGAGTCTCTCATGCTGCTGAAAATTAGTGTTATGTTCCGGACTACAGATATATGATGATCCTACTTACCAACCATCTACATGAGGGCCAGAGCAAAGCCAGCTCAGCCAAAAATGCGACACATTTCGCCAGTCTATCTAGAGCTGCCTCCCTGGTAGTTTTGTCGGCCGCCCGACAAAAGTAGATGTGAATAGTCGCCGCTATCGCCGCACAATGACCAATAAATGGATCCGAGACGCGATATTCTTTATGTATGACCATCTCTATGAGACGTGCAACCCAAGTGCTGTGGATAAAAGCAAGTTCAGAAGATGTTTTCCAGAACGTGTTGGGAACTCCTAACTGAGCCGACTGTTGTGGTCGCGAAGAATACAGAAAGGGATGGTTTAGCATGTTATGGATCGTGTGATATGCGAATTGCTGATATATCCACGGACTCCAATATCCTCGATTGCTCTGAAGGTGTCGGCTTTCTTGCTCAGTAAATCGCGCGCTATCAAATCGGTGCCGATCTGGGAATTTCGTCTCCGAGTCCATGAGATAGGCGTTGATGACTGCGTATCCGGACTCAATGGACCAAGGAGGCGGTGCGTTGTTGGTCTGTTGGGCCCATTGCTTTACATATGTCCGGACCTCCCCCCACAGCGTAGATGTCTGGAGCATATAAGCCCATGTCCCGCTCTTCTTGTCGGCGCTCGTTGTTTCGTCCTGACCTGAAATGTCTTCATGTGGAATGGCCGGGGGCCTTTCGTTGACGCTCTTCCGCGGGTCTGTATACGTCGCGATGTATTGCGGCCTGGTAATATCTTGTAGGATGTCCGTAGTGAAGGACTGATGTCCGTACATCTGCTGCAGCAAGTGCAGGCTCCAAAACACTCTTCTTCGCGTCTCTGCACGTGTGCTAAAGTCTTTAGTGGCGCAGGCCTCAACATCAAGATTGGCACATTTAGCAAGCGTGTTTGCCATGCCTATATGCAGATGTGCCAGGGTCGTTTTGTTGGCTATATAGCACGTTCAGCACATGGTGACCAGCTACATTAAGCAGGGTGCTTACCTTGTATATTGGCCAGTGTCAGCGTGCACAGATTCTGAACGGTCGTTATCGAAACCTTGCCCTCGCCTACCTGGTGCATGATTCCCTCTCTTGCAGCCTGTGCGTAGTTTTGGCCTAGTTCGTGCACACGGCCTTGAAAGAAAGGATGTTTTGAATGACACGAAGCAAGGGCCAGCAAGGTCAACATTGTCTCCTCACTACAATCCTGTATGGAAGAAAAGTCTTCTCGGTTGAAGAGCCATAAAGGCTGCTTGTGACAATATTGGAAGTATGCACCGATGACATCTTCCATAACGTCATTCGGAGGCAATATGCTGCTTTAGCTACTTAGCCAACGACACGATCCAACGGACAAACCTCTCCCAACCTACCTGGTCGTTGTGGAGCTATCCATCTCAACACTCGGCGATAGTGGTAGCTGCCAGTCCTGGAATTGGGCCGAGTTCTCTGATATTCTGGTATAAGACTCCATTTCACTATTCGCCCTAGTTGATTGAAGTGGGCATCGTTAGCCACATAAACCCATAGAGCATGAATCGAAGTGCTGATCATACTCTTGTCTTTCCATCATACGAATTTTTGCTTCGAGCTGGGCAAGTCGTCTCTCCTAAACGTCACCCGTCGTGAGTAACAAGACTTTATGATGCCCGCGGGCCTCCAATAAGCATACTGTGTCTGTAGAATTGCTCCCATTTTGAGACCCTGAGGTCACAGGGTTCCCCCGAACTTCTGGGTACGTGCATGTTTTTGAAAGGCGAGTGCAGCTCGAACAAGCTGGTCTCTCTCCCGGACACCGAGTCTTCTTCCTCCTACGGATACTAATTCAGTATTGGACCGGCGGCTAGTGCCAGAGCAGCACGACAAACGCGCCAGTTGGCTACTGGAGGACTCACCGACAGTTCTCGCACGCCTGGTGCAGACGCTTGTGTGATCGACTGCCGTACATGACATGTATTTGCTCAATTTATGAGACAATAGATAGCGAGAAAAGAGGGGTGTCGTCTCGGTATGAAGCTGGGCGATTACTTTTATATACGGTCTTATCAAATGCGGGGACGAGCATTGGAGTCCAGACTTAACTGCATTGAGTGCGGGGCCGACGGTGATAATACGCCGTTAGCGTGACTAGTCTAGGGTAATTGATCAACTTGCACCACTTACACCATAACTCTCTACTACTCTGGAACATTCACTCCTATTATTTCTTGCTGCCAATACTCCACATCTGCTTGAGGCAATGAATTTGTATATGCTTCGCCGGTACATCATCGTTTCTGTAATTTATCTGAGCAGATATACCCAGTTTGATGCCGACTAATCGATGACAACGATAATGCATCACCCATTCAAGTCGTCTTCTTGATGACTTTTGATGATACAGTCACTAGTCGGCTTAGCGACGCAGAGTAGTACATATCCTTCATCTATCTGTTCGTCATCTAGGTAGCTCTGATCGCTTTGATCGACTGTACCCGAGACCATTTTGCCCGTACAAGAAGAGCAAGCCCCTGCCCGGCAAGAGTAAGGCAAGTCCAGGCCGTTTTCCTCAGCTTGGTCCAGGATATACGTGTCGCTATCGCAACTGAAGGTATAGTCTTTGTCTGGAGTCTTTATGGTGACTTGGTAGGACGGCATGTTGGGGTCTTGGTTGATGTTTGGAATCCAATTGTGGATGGGCAAGATTGTTAGAGAATTGAGAATAATAGGATGATTGAACGTGCTTTTCTTTTGGTACTACTGAGTCAAGATACAAGACGAGGATAGACCAGGACCTTTTATCAAAATGAGGAGCCCAATTTTGTACCGATTGAAGGCGGCATTATCGATAGGCAAGATCCTGATCTCGGACCCCGAATCTTGAGGCCCTCGAGTATAGGTAGGACAAATAAACGCTTGTGAGTCGCCGACATATGTGGCGAACACTTGGGCTACATTTTATCAAGAGCTAAATGAACAGAATTCGAGACATCGGAAAGGGTTTAGTCATAGTGACATCATCTGTGAAGCGAAGATACGAGATTCTGGTCTGTGGTGACACTGATTGCGTCAGACAACGTTCGGCCCAACAATAGCGAGCATCGTAAAACCAATGAGGTCGAGGATATATGTTGCTGACCCGGGACGAAGACAACCATGCAAAGGGTATAGGTATGACAACATTTCTGGGCGATAACCAAGCCAAAAAAAAGGAGCCAACCCGAGCGAACCCATTATTACGAGCAATGACCTGTGGTGATAGCCTGACTAATGACGAAGCGTATCATATCGGTCAAACCTTTTCGGTACTTAGATATAGAATTGCCTTAATCTCAACTACAGCTTCTGTGTATAAGAGAATTCCATGTCATGCAAGAATAACAAACCCACCTACATCCGATTATGCCAAATTCCACCGAAAATATCCATGCGCAGCCGATGCCGGCCGGCTTGCAGACGATAGACGCTTCTGAACCTGCCGAGCTAAAAGCAGCACTCCATTCCAGATTAACAGATCTCGTCAATGGCGCCCCAGTAATGCTCTTCATGAAAGGCGTTCCCAAGTGCCCATTATGTCGCTTCAGCCGACGTATCGTTCGTATCTTGGACGACCGTGGTATTCAGTATAGTTCTTTCGATGTACTGAAGGATGAGACCGTTCGTCTGGGCATCAAGGAATATGCCGACTGGCCGACTTTCCCCCAGTTATGGGTAAATGGTGGATTAGTTGGCGGGTTGGATATTGTAAGTACAGCTCGCTGCCAGGGAGTATTTGATGTCGATAATGACGATGGATAAGTAAAGGAAGAGTTTTCCGCCAACCCAGAGTTTCTGAGTGCATACAGAGTACCTGAAATAGAGGACGATGCTGCAAGGGTCATGGCTTAGTGTATGGATGGGTGCATGGCCATTTATGCTGCATCATCAAAAGATTGATCAGAAGGGTGAAGCATCATCGGCGACATGGTAAATTGATACAAAATCTGCTCTGTTAATGCTCTCCCCGTAGGTACAGTCTCTGATCCCTGGAACCAGAAGCTGTCACTATCTACCCCTCACCCTAACATTTGCAGGAAAAGAGCTTCCCTTGTAAAGCGCGCTATGTCCGTCTAAAACCTCACCACTCCATATCAGCACTATCAGCCTTACAAGTTAGTCCATCACAAAATTCATCATCCCCTTTTGTGACCTCAGAAGTTGATACATGTTGCCGAGCAGGCCATATCTCTCCCTTCGCATCCTGCTCCTTTCTACGGTGCTCAGTCACAATCTGTCTCACCGTATTCTGGAAGAAGATCGGCGCGCTCTCCAAATCGGGATGCAGCTCTCCGTTGGTAAAGACACCTGCTTCCAGGTTCTTCTGCACCGCATCGCACAAGTACTTGTCTTCTCCGAGAACTCGCTTGAAGAAGGAGTTGGTTCTTTCGAACTCTTCGTCAGTGGCGTCTTTATGGCGATAGACTTCATACTCCATTGAACATGTGCCAACTGATGTTGGTACGCATCGCATCATGTAGAAGAAATGCGGCCTGTACGATAAAAACGAGATTAGATCTAGCCGTCGATTAAGCGTGTGAAGAAATGACTAGCACTTACGAAACAGTCATGCATGCGTTTGGGAAATAGTAGGTGCTACTGATCTTGATGTCGTCTTGTTCCGTTCCCTTCTTTGGTCGCGAAAAGTGCTGAATGTAGCCTGGTTTGGAAACGGTATAGTAAAAGGTCAAGTCTGTTATGGCTTTGACATCTGGATGCGCAACCTGGCAATGATAACATTCGTTGTAGTTATCTGCAAGGGTTTTCCAGTTGTAATTGCCCTGCATGCCCCAGACATGATCAAACTGATATTGAGAGAAGTCAAAATGCTTGAACCGCTCCTGTGAGTCGACCCCCTCAAAGTCGTCCGTCCATTTCACTTCTGGCTCCGGGGACGCATCCAAGTTGACCCAGACGAAGCCAATGGCATCGACGTGCACATGGACAGGAAAGAGGCTGTGGTTGTCTTTGTTGAACGCCGGGACGGTGTCGAAGCGCGGTGCCTTGGCAAGCTTTCCGTTGATGCCGTACGACCAACCGTGATATTTGCAGGAAAAGATCTTGGCGTTTCCCGCCTCTTCTGTGACGATTGGAAACGCCCTGTGCCTGCAGATGTTGTGAAAGCCGTTGATGGTCTCTCCGTCTTTGTCCAGGCACAGCACAAAAGCATAGCCTGCCTCCTCGAAGCGGAGAAAGTCCCCCGGCTTGGTGAAGCGTAGTTTGTGCGTGGCGAGAAGCCATCGCTTGGAGAAGATGGCGCGTCGCTCAAGCTGATACATTTCATCCTGGCGGTACCATGATGCGGGGAGGGCTGTCGGCTCTGGAGACTCTGATTTGCCGGATAGAATAGCGTTTCCATTTACGCCAGTCATGGCCAGTATCGAACCGAGTTTTGAGAACATGGTGTTGATGTGAGATTATTAGAGATCAGGCAAAGCTATCAGCAGGAGGTATTCGAGTCTGCTTGCAATAGAGACATAAATTAGATATCACTAAAAGACATACGAGAACTATCTTTTGACTTATCTAGTCATCCTTCAACCGTCTTCCCATAATCTATCAACGGGAGACATGGCGTACAGTCTGAGAGTTCAGACGGTCCGACCTCCCCGTATACTTCTCCGACCTCCTGTCTCCCTTATTTGGTAACGCCATTCTTTTGTAACTGGTCGTATCTTTGTTACGACAACGCGTTGTTTGGTCGGGAAATGTGTCGCATGACTATTGCCTCGTTCGGGCAACCGCTGATCTCCCCGCCCCGCCCGTGCCCCTCTCGGGGAGGCCAAAGTAACTCTCCCCGACCACGTGCTGATTTATTTGTACCAGCTCAACCCCCTCATTGACGTCGGAACGTGGACTTGGTACGCCGTCCTGAAATCAACTCGTTCTGATTGGTTAAGTCTCACAGAACGGGGTATCTATGGGTCTTTGGATATGAAGCAGTAATCAATTGATGCGTAACATTGCTCTGGAAGTCGAGCTAAAGCGTCGGAGATTGCGATTCTTGTCCGCCGTACCCCATACCATATCTCATTACCCCGCTCCACCAACTGAATTCAGAGTATTAGATTGATGTAGATTGATGCGAACTGGCAGATGAACGAATCAGGAGTATTCAATGGTAAGCTATTCCAGGTTATGAAATGTGCCCAATCACTGCTGGCTAGATAAGAATGGCGATGCCAAAATGGGAACTAATGACTTGGTCAAAATTAATAATAAAAGACAGCTCAGGCCCCACGTTCTAGCTTAGAGTTTCCACAATTTGGCCATTTTCAGACCAAAGTAGCCTTCACATACACCATTACCTTCTCATATCTTGCGTGATCATGTCAGACACATCCACCACGGGCGGTCCAGTTACCATGCCTCAGCCATCAGATAAACTCTCTGACCGAGAACGCTATGCCGACCTGCGTACCAGTGGCGACCGGCATGGCGAGTCCCTGAGCTTTCAAATGGGAACCGAGGATGAACAAATGTTCTCTCTTCGAGATATCGACCCAGTGCTTGATGCTAAAATGCGCCTCATGAATAAGGTCTCCAGAGCTCTAATCCAGTGATGCAAGAACAATTCCAGGACTAATCCATCACTGTGTAGACCATGGATGAGATTGGCTGGACAAACATGCACCTCAAGCTGTTTTTTCTGAATGGTTTCGGCTACGCTGCTGATTCTCTAATCCTTGCCCTTCAAGCTGTGACTGCCGGTCAGACTGCTCTCGAGTTTCGTCCTGCTTTCTCTTATGGTCTCAATGTGGCTGTGTATACAGGAATGCTGGTTGGCGTGTTATTCTGGGGATTAGGTAACTCAACACGACCCCTTCTCGTCATCTTACAAGAACCTTATTTGCTGCTTAGGTGCGGATGTCATCGGCCGGCGTTATGCTTTCAACATCTCACTCTTTTTATCTTCCGTATTCGCCATTGCGGCCGGTGCCTCGCCTAATTGGATTGTCCTTGCTACCTTTGTCGGTCTTGCTGCGTAGGTTCCTCGCCATCCAGACCGCAAACTTACTAATACTGGATGCACAGATTTGGTGCTGGCGGCAACCTCGTTCTCGACACTACCGTATTCCTAGAGTTTCTTCCTGGCAACAAGCAATGGCTGGTAACGTTGATGGCCTGCTGGTGGGGGCTTGCATATGTCATTGTTGCTGCCTTTTGCTGGCCAATCTACTCGAATCCCAAGTATACCTGCGCCGACGCTGATACATGCACCAAGGGTAACAACATGGTCAGTACAGGCACTTGATACATCCGACCTGGGTTTTTGACTAATCTATATCAAAGGGCTGGCGATATGTCTGGTACGGAAATGGAGCTCTCGTCTTTGTGTGCAGCATTTTACGAGTCACTGTGATTCGACTCAAGGAGACCCCCAAGTACCTTCTTGCCAAAGGCGATGACGCTGCTGTGGTTGCTATCTACCAAGATATTGCAAAGAAATATCAACGGCCTTGTAGTCTCACCGTTGAGGCACTTGAGTCTATGGGGACCATCAACTCTACGTATGGCAAGTCTAGGTATAGCTTCAGCGAGCTATGGGCACATTTCCATGGATTATTCGTGACGAGGAAGCTCGCCATCTCAACGATTCTGATTTGGATATCTTGGCTTCTAATTGGTAACCCAACCTCGGCCTTGCACCAAAACAATAGAACTAACGTCCCTAGGCCTGGCATACCCACTGTTTTATGTGTTTCTCCCAGACTATCTTGCCAGTCGTGGTGCCAAAACGGGAGAGTCAGGGCCATATTATCAGTGGAGAAACTACATGCTCAGCAGTGTCACGGGCATATTTGGGCCAGTGGCTGCTGCATTTATGTGCAACACCAAGCTGCTTGGCCGGAAGTACACTATGGCAATTGGAGCACTCATCACCATGGCCTTCTTCTTCGCTTATACTGCTGTGAAGACTCCGGCTCAGAACGTGGCCTTAAGCTGTGTCATAGCTTTTACGTTAAATATCTACTATGGAACCTGTAAGTCACTGGTCCCTACACTAATAAGAAGGAGCCCCGACTGACATGAACCCTTCCCAGTATACGCATACACTCCAGAGGTTTGTGGAGTCACCATTGGACTGACAGTAGGTTTATTGGCTGACACAGTACAGGTACTACCATCAGCCCATCGTGCAACGGGCAACGGAATAGCTGTAGCAGGAAACCGAATTATGGGATTGGTATCCTCCTTCGTAGCAGCTTACGGCAACACTGCGACATCAGTACCCATTTATGTATGCGCCGTACTCTACATCGTCATGGTAAGCTACACTCCTGCTGATATCCCTGAAGAGTGGCGCCTAATTGATATGTACTAGGCTATCATAGCCGTGATCTTACCGTTTGAGCCTTATGGAAAGCGGTCTATGTAGAGAAGTGATGGTATTATATACTATCAATGCTTCCGCTTGAATGCATTCCTTTCTCAGGATGGCCCTTTCTATCAGCCATCAGCCCAAGTACCTTTTTCACAGTCCTCTTCATGCATATTCTATTTTAACGTTATGGTCCCCTTAATTTCACTATGTAGATGACTTAAATCTTCCCGACTAACATATAAAGAAATCTTATTCCTTAAATATTCTTCATCGGTGCGAAACCTTCAAACACATTGTGATTCAAATTCGATTATACTAACGCGAGAAACATATTCACTTTTCATCTATGAATAGATACAGATCTAATATCATGGTTAAATTGCAGTATAGAGACCAGAGACGCGAGATAGCCCATAAAATCATAAAAGATGTATAT